AGACGGGGACTAAGCATTTAATGTTCATCTCCTGTAAGTCATAAGCTAAGTGAATGGAGAGCCTTGAAAACTCCCCAAACGCCCTTATACAGATTCGAACCACTGCCACCCGCTCAGCATTTCAGTATGTCATCAACTAAGCTAACAGCGTGAACACTACAGTAGAGTCACGGGGGAAAACATTAGAGATGTTTAACTGACAGCTGTGGCCAAACATAATTTATTATTAGCTTACCTTAACTTTTAGCTGGTCTGCTTCGTTTTAGTTTTAATAAGAGTTTTATAACACTTGCAACACAAATAGGTTGTTTCATCAGTGCTGAAGATCAGAGTTACTGACGGTCCATGCATTACTAGGTAGTAATAGCAAGACCCTAAGAAAAAAAGGAGAAATAAAGTCTATAAATGTTTGATATGGAGTGTTGTAACACCCAAAGAAAAGACGGAAAAATAAGGACGATAGATGTTTCATAAGAAAAAAGGGGGCGAACTACACCTGTAGAGCATTCGCCAATCACATCCAGCTGGTCAGCAAAGGTTCCGGTATGACCATGCTAATGCTTCCAACAAATCCCTGATCCCTATCTTTGCTGATAATACTGATATTAGTAACTCACCCTCTTCCCAAACCTCTCAGCTACGCACAGATACACGTATGTAATATTATTATAAAATGATATCTGCCTGAAAATCCAGCCATAAGGAGACCACAAGAGGGTTTTGTGAAGGCAAAATTCTATTAAAGAGGCATATCTCAGGTCCTACACATTGACCTGTCTTGTTTTGTTTGGTTACTTCTATGATGAAATAATGAGTGACACGCGAGGAAAAGTCAAAAGTTTTGTTGTTGTTTTTTATGTGGGTATAAATGTGAGAGTGGTGTGTGTTATTTTGGAGCAAATAAGAGCAAGATGACTTTTTACGAAGAAATATTGTCACTACATAATTATATATTAATAGTGTATTGAAACTATGGAACAGCCTAAGCCGTAAAGTTCCGAAAGTGAAGGGACAGAATAACGGTGAATAAACCAACTGTGTAACTTTTGGTAGTTAGCCACTTTGACCATGTGACGTGGACAAGTCCATGATTGTACCAATGACAGACCCTCTCAATATAAAAATGCTTACCCACTGGGGAATCAAACTCATGTCTGTGTGTGTAAAGGCGAAAAAACTCACAGTATTATCACACCACAAGCGCTGGCTGTTGTTGAGTTGAGAAAACATGTGGATATAAGATAACATGTTAAAAGTTATTCAAACAGGTGTATCTGCTCTTTCTGAATAACTAGAAAATCAGACTCAATAGGTTTACTACGCCCCCTCCCCTTTCCCCCTCACATCCACACACATCCACACAAGTGCGTGCGTGTGCACGGGTACGAAAAATATCAGACAAAAGAATACAAGTAGAAATGAAAAGATTGTATTCCTTCAACATGCACTAGACCAATGCTCTTTAAAAGAGAAATGGTGCAGATAATATCAGTACTCAAACCTAAACGTTAAAGGTTTATGTTAAGCTTAGCATGTTTTTCGTAAATTTATTCATTTTTTCTCATTTTGTCTTTGATCTAATCATCAGAACAAAAACTTGAATTTGCCAGACTGTGTGTTGTATGATTTTATGTCGTGAAGCTAGCAAAACTAGAACTGTCAACTTGTAACGCTCCCATCCTTTCATCCAACTTCTGTATGGAAGCAACAATTTTTAGCTTCTTCTCTCCCGAAACTGAGTGTGTTAGTGTAACACAAGTTGGGTTGTTTTACAAGATAATGACTATTTGCTAAACAGAGCTTCGATGGTAATTTTTTGTTAAACATCCTGGAATGTTTACTTTTGTCCTAAAGCATATTAAAGATGGTTGGTAAAAAAAAATCCTGACAGAGATCAATTAAGCGAACACAGCTAACGCATTAATTTAGAACAGTCTTTAAAAATGAGCGAGAAAGTCTTCATTTAAAAAAAAGTATGTGCAATAAATAATACTAATAATAACTTACGGTACCATTCTAATTTTTCCAAAAGTCCGGAGTTTTTGCTTTAGATAAGGTCAACCGGGTTATTTTCATTCTCGAAATTGGTAAAAGTATCACAGCTTTTAGAGTAACGTTTAAAAGCAAATTTAAAGTCCAAAGAAAACAAGTATTGCCAAAAGGTCTACCCATCGCAGAGGCGAAGCGTCTATATAATCAAATAATCACTGCTTCCCTTCCTAATTTTGAAACATTGTCGCAGTCAAATTCACCCATAGACGTAAACCTCATAAATTAAATGTAAAAAGACGTTCATAATCACAAATGAACAATAGACTATGCCTAACCTTCAAAACCATTTCATTGCCACAGAAATAGCCTGTTCGCCCCTATCGGGCCACTCCATAAGCAGTCACAAGCTTTGATTAAGTAAGCTTAAAGTGAGGCTGGAAGAGTCAACCAATAGATTTGAAGGGAACATGTGCATAGCAGTCAGAACTGTTTCATTGTCGCATATACC